AGAGAGAGAGAGAGAGAGAGAGAGAGAGAGAGAGAGAGAGAGAGAATGAGAATATATGGGCTTGGCACAAGCTTTTGAAACCTCAAAGCTTACCCCCAATGACACACTTCCTCCAACAAGGCCACACGTCCTAATCCTTCTAATCTTTTCAAGTAGTACTACTCCCTGATAACTAAGCATTCACATATATGAGCCTGTGGGGGCCATTCTTATTCAAATCACCAGAGTCATGATGTTTTTTCACAGCAATAGAAAAGCTAACCAAGACACCTAAGTAAGCCATCCTCTTCATTAAAAATGCATGATTCAGTGAGGACTTTCCCATACATATATAAGCTGGAATAGCATAATGACTTATATCCAAGCTTTGTTCTAAAAAAAAAAAAAAAAATCAAAACCAAGTTCACATAGAACAAAGTACTTAAAATCTGTGTCTCAGTCTCCATACTTGAAAATAAGAGGATAAGAATAATATCTTACCTGAGGTTTAAACAGTTGTGAAGTGTTTATTACAACATGTAACACATACTAAGAAGTGAGTAAATAATGCACCATTACTAATAATACACCATAGCCACATGGCTTTTGGGATACATGATTATTGTTAAGACTTGTTATGAAGTGTTCCCCCAGAGTGCATGTGTTGAAGGTCATAATGTTCAGATGGGACCTTGAGTACTGACTGGATTTTAAGGATACTAACCTGCGTGGAATATTGGAAGGTCAGGACTAGTTGGAGGAAATAGGTCATTGGATATGTGAATGTTACTTAAGGATTTTTGGGTCCCTGATTGACTGTCTCTCTTTCCTCTACCTCCCCCAGTTCTCCACTCTCTCCCTCTCTGCCTTTTCCCAGCTGCCATTGCAGGAAACAGCCTTGATTCACTACATGGGCTTTACCTTGATTTTCTATTTCAAAAGAGGCCCTACAGGTTTTTTGGTTTGTTTTTTTTTATGTGTTATCACTTTAACCCAAAGCAATATAATAGCCTATATAGGGTATGGATGTATTATTTCTATAACTTAATCTAATGCTGGATTCATAGGTTAACCTCTAGGGTTGCAATAGATTGAAAATTCATATAGGGCATTTTTTTTTTATTCATGCAAAATACTTGTTTAGTGTTCCCTATATAAGGCCTTTAACACTGGGAACCGAGAATCTCAAATAGCGTAGCCCCTGACATGCAGGCCCCCAGGTGAAGGGAAGATGTGTACAGATAACTCTGGCCAGGTGTAAACAACACCTGCATCCAAGTTACTGAGGAACTTCAGCGAGAGGCACAATGTCAGTCTGTCTGGAATCTTGGAGAAGACAGAAGAGCGTGTAGGAGATGAGGTAACAGAAGTTCCTGGAGGTGGTTATACAGAGGCTCTAAAAGGTAGAGTCTAGTTAGGAACTCTTTAAGGAATCCAGGGGGGAGTTGGTGTGCCTTTCCCTGGTAGGAGACGTGGAAATGGTAACAAATGGCTAGATTTGAAGAACTACAGCACTTGAGCAAATGGGTTGGGTGTGAGTTCTCAGGGATGAGGCAAGGCTAGCTTCCTGTGTTGGTTAACATTGACTGTCCTGTGGAGGAGTCTGGACTCCAGGAAACAAACATCTGCGGATATCTGGGAGGCGGCTTCTAGACCGAGTGAGTTGAGGTGGAAGAACTGCCCTAAGTATTTGTGGCACCATTCCGTGGGGAGGCTTCCAAAAGGAACAAAAGGGCAAGAAGTAGCTGAGCACGGCCTTCCCCTCTGCTTCCTGATGCAGATGCCGCATGGCAGCTGCCCTCACCACTGCCCCATCCCCCTCTCTCCGCCGTGGGGACTTCACTGTCAAACTGGACACGAAACAAATCCCCCTCCTTGAGGTGTTTGTTACAACAGTGAGAAGAGTGACCCAGAGAGAAGAGGGTTCCTGAGGGGCCAGTGTGAGTAAGAGAAGGGGCAGCCGCCACTTCCGTAACCACAGAAGGCTCCTCTGCTTGTGACCTGGGTAGAAGAGTCAGTGGGTGAGGAGATGGAAGAGTCTGCAGTTCTCAGGCTCTGTCTCAGGTGAATAAGTTTGGGAAACGTGAGTGTATTTATTCATAGTGAGTTTTAAAAGCTTGGAATGGTCAGTAATTTTAACAATTATATTATAATTCTCTTGCATAAATTTTTCCTTGATATTCCCATTTTTTTTAAAAAAAATTCAAATGAGGGGGATATAAGAGCAAATAATGGGGGCAATATGATCAAATGCATTATACATGGAGTTGAAAGAATAAATACATTTAAAACATAAATAAACTTTTTATGAGGATATTGAAGCTTTACTAAATGACCGTTTCTTTTGCTTGGGATCTTTGGTGTGGATCTATGTATCTTTTGACATCTTATATTCCTTTGAACAGTTTCTTATAGTAAGTGTGGACACTGTTTTTGCCAGAATAGTTCATATACATTTCTTGACCATATTTTTGCCACGTTTCCACCCTTCTCATAGTCATTGTAATATAGTCTTACTGAAATTCTGATGGATTTTGCTTTTCAAAAGGTATTAATAATTGGTTTTTTTTTCTTCGGAAACGAAACTTCTGATACTTTGAACAACACCCTACTTGATTATTTTTTACAGGGATAAATTTATTACAGCCACAAGTAGTGCTTATATTTTTTTCTTTTAATATTTGTATACTTTTTCTTTTCTTTTTTCTTTCTTCCTTTTTTTTTTTTTTTTTTTTTTTTTTTTTTT